ATAAGATATCGCGGCAACAAGCAAATACTTACCTTTCCGAGAACAGGAACAGGTGAGCCCGTCACACTATCTCTCTCCGCACGTATGACCCCAGTTCGTACCGACGCACTACGTAGAACGCGACGCGAGCCGACAGGAGGATCCGACGCGGGAGGACTACTCGCGAGCGGGGTCAACGAGGATCGCGTGAGCGGAGTCAGCGAGGATCGTGCGAGCGAAGTCAACGAGGATCGCGCAAGTAACGCGCCCTCTACTCCTGCAGCTTCGTCTCCGCTCTCGTCGTCAACCCACTGCTGAGCGCGCCGTCTGCGCGCGGAAGTTCCACCTTCGCGATCGCTTACCGGATCGGTAGGTACGTTGTCGACTGCGCCGTCGAAGTCCACGACCTGCGCCGCTGCCTCTGCATGGCGCGCTGCCTCTGCGCGGCGCTGTGTTGCCACCACTAACCTTTTGGCAGCACTTCGGTTTCTTTTTTTCTTGTTTTGATCTAACCCGGCATCCGCGACAACGTCTGACGCGGTCTCGGCGTCCGCGACGACGTCTGACGCGGTCTCGGCGTCCGCGACGACATCTGACACAGTCTCGGTGTCCGCGACGACGTCCGACACGGTCGTGGACACGACTGACGGCGGCCCCCTCATCCGGGGACGTGGAACCTATCAAGAGGTCAATATCTCACCCGTAAGTTCATTTGTTTGTCCTTACCACTTTTCTCTGATGTTTTCCAGTCGCAGCCACCCCGCGCTCCGTACCGAGTCCCGCTGCGACATCGCGCGCCCACCTAGCGGACTTTCGCGCTGCGCGGTTTGGGCGTGTCACGTCCGTCCCATCGAGTGCGCGCTGTCCTCCTCCGGGCCTCCCGATGGCCTGCGCGCAGTTTTGTTATGAGGTAAGTCCTTTGTTACAAGGTGAGTACTTACCTGCCAGCCGTCAACCTCCCTTACCATCCCTGCATCCCCCTCTTCTCTCTCGTCCGCACTCACACCCTCGTGCTGAACATCCGCGCCTTCCGGAGCGCCTGCTATCGACAGCGCGCGCTCCGGAAGTTTGTTGTTACTGGAGTCCTGCATGTTAACTAAGGTACGTACTTGATCCTAGTATGTTTTGCAGGTAGACGTCAGCAGAGAGCAGCGGTAAGGAAATCTCGCTACTTCTGGATACGCAGACTGACCTTGTTTTAGGGTTATTCGCTCGATTGAGCGACGGACATTTAATGTCCAACGACCACATCGAGCGCACCGCGCGCGAATTCTCTCACACCATCCAACGGAATAATGGTATGTCCCAATTTTCTATTTTATAGCTCTACAATTTACTGGTTTTACATGAAGATCAGCTCCTCGCCACTCAGACCAGCATGCCCCAGCCGACCGCCCTTCCGCTCGACACTCCTCTCGCCCTCGCGCCCCCGTAGAATCCCATTCTCCCGCGCCCGCACACAGGGCGCGCTCTCCGCATGCCAGGCGCTCCTGCCCGACCTTCGCGCGGGCGCGTTCCTACGCCAGCTGCACGCCTTGCAGAACGACCAGTTTGGGCTGCCCGCACAGGTGCGCGCCGCGCTCTTCAGATGGCAGGAGGTGTTCATGGGCCTGCTCGACGCTGCAACCGCGCTTGCTATCCTCGTGGATCTGGATCCGGAGGCGGCGGAGGACTCGGAGGTGCCAGTCGCAGCGTGTCGCACCTCGCCGAGAAACTTGCCTGCTGGGCAGGTGTCAATGAAGAGGTCCGCAGGTGTATGCAGGAGCGGCGCCGCGAATGGTGAGAGGCGCGCTGCCAGCGCTCATGAGTCGCGTACGAGCAGACTCCGCGTAAGAGACGATTGGGGAGCGCGATCAGTCGATTTAGGTCGAGTGTCACACGCACCGCAAGAGCAGCGGCGAGAGACCCGTGGATTGCAAAAGCGAGTAGTGTGTGAGCAGGTGCCGCCGAATGGAGATGAAATTGGGGACGAGATCGGGCGTTGAGAATAAATCGACAAGCCTGGCACGGAGTCGTGTCAGAGTGAACTGAGGGGGTGAATGAGGACAGCGACGCACGTCTGGGAGATGGCGACAAACTCGTCGAGGTTGATTGCTTTCTCGTCAACCCAGAGCAGGTCACGCGCCATGCATGCTGCATAGAGTGTATCCCTATGAGCAGGTGTCAGCGATCTATGGCACAACCCGGAGCGGACACCCTCACCAGTCGGGTGCGTTGATTGTGGCCTCAATGAGCTGCTGCTCGCTGGTAGCGGTGAGGCGTTTCACAGCCGCGCGGGGTGCGCCTTCCTCTGTGGACATGAATTGCTCAATATACGCGTTTAGAGCGATCGGTAGTCCAAATCTGAAATAGCAGGACGTGAGCAGGCAAACTGGGTAGCTCAACATGACAGGAGCTTACTCCATGATAGCCTTGCAAGATCTGCGTCAGTTATCGCTGGCGTCAGCATGCTGAGTACTCACAGTGCTGCGATACTTCGTTTTGTTCGTATACACAATCGCGGCGGTGACGACCACGACGCATTCCGCGCCTGCTTTGATCTGCTCCGGGTGCTCCCTCACTAACTTCGCATAGCGGCACCATCCAAGACCTGCACAATGTGCCGCTCTGTGTACGACGTGCCCTCAGGGAAGACGGCAACGGCATGGCCGTGAGAGAGAGATTGTAGCGTGCCGCGAAAGAGTTGTTTGTCATCCCTTGTGGTCCACGGGGATGTTGGTCGCCGAGGTGAGACTATAGCTCATAGTCGAACGAATGGATCTGTCGAGTTGCGCAGGAGCCCAACAAAGGCCGCGTCGAGGATGTTTGCATTTTGTCGATGAAGTCGTCCACGTCGTACTGGCATAGCCCTGCGAAGTAATTGATGCCGAACTGTAGGCTCGAAGACGCGCTCTCCGGCGAGCCCGCGATGAATGAGGCATGAACGCCAAACTTGGACACAAGATCCTGCAACATTTCCTCATCCTTCTTATGATCGCTCTTGCCCGATTTAAAAAAAAGGACACACCTTGTGCGTCACCCCAAGTATGTCACCGGGTTTCCTGGTCGAGCGCTCACTGAGCTGCGCGCCACCCAGAAGCGTCAATGAATGCCGAGTTGTCCATAGTCGTGATGGGTGCCAAGGAGATACCATCGCCGGTCATTTGACTCCTGTAACCGACAGAGTCTTCGAACGTGTGGCGGATGATGTACGAGAGTATCACTTCATTGGCAAAGTTGATGCAGAACTCGTCAAAGCCGGCTTGGTCATGAGGCGAAAGCAGCGGGCCAGGACCACCGAAATACACGGACGCCGAGTCCGGAGGACCCTTCGTCTGGAAGCCAGGCTGGTCGAGCAGGATGATCTGCGCAGGGTCGGGGGATCTTGTGGGCTGGGAGCAATACGTTGGTTGGCAGTTTCGACAACAAGACAACAAAGGCGAACAGAATCGCGCAAAGGTCGCGCATTGGTGAGTCCCGCGGCGCGGCGCTCCGCTTGGCGTACGGCGAGACGGTGCGCGGCGCCTTTCGCATGTAAGTGGCTCTGTTGGTGATCGCTTTGGTGAGATTATCTTGCGATACTCTCAGCAAACTGACGACTTACCTCGAGAACAAGCGGGTTAGCGATGCTGAGACGCCCCTCACACGGAAGACGATTGAAGCAGGGCTTGTCGAGGCCGTACGCCGGGACCTGTACCGCGTCAATGCGGCCGCCCCATCCTGCATGTCGCGCACGTACCTGCCGTTTTCAGTTTTCCCTGTGCGCACACGGTCCCTCCCCTCCCTCCCCTGTCCCCTCTCCGTACGCCGTACTCGCGCCTCCGGTATCGTGCTTAACGTCGAAGTTTATGAGGGGTTGCGCGGGAGCTCTTCCTGTCGAGAGATGAGTGGTAGTGAGAGGACACTCACCGTTTATATACGCTGTCGGCCGAAGGAGGAAAGGGAACCGATTATGATAGAGATTAGCCTGAGAACAGCGTGAGTCTATGGGTTACAGCGAAGTCCAGATAGAGCGCGATTGAATAACATAGATGGAAGTCGCGCGAGACGCCGGCCGCGATAGAGCAGATAGAGTGACGTCGTGAGAGACGCCGGCCGCGATAGATAGTGACGTCGCGAGAGACGCCGGCTGCGACAGAGTGAAGCAAGAATAATAAAATACATTGAAGTCGAGAAAGAAAAGGGTGTACATAGAGCATAGTGAGGGCTTACCTTCTAGGTCAATATAGCCTAGCTGGTTGAACGTGCTGCGGCATGATGAAGGTCGGTCTGTGCGAGTCGAGTGTTCGACTCCCGGGCATGTGCCAGGGTTGTTGGCTCCGCGGAGCTTAATTCTCCACCGCTACACTAACGAACAAATGTTCTTGACTGTCCATAGTGATTGGATTCACACCGAGTCCCTGAATGTTCAGTCGACGCCGTTCGCTTGCGCCGTTCCTCTTTTCTATTTTACTTTTTGCTTTTTATTTTGCTCTGCTCCGCGTCTTTGATTTTAACTTACCCACGCGCTCGCTCGCTCTGCTCCGCGTCTTCAACTTGCTCGCTCGCTCACTCGCTTCTTTATTTATTTATTTTTGTCTTGCAGCACGTCCACCACCCTCGTCTGCTTGACAATACATCTGGGCGCGCGCCGTATCTAATGGCCCTTTGTCTGGCCGCGCTTCCCTATTTGGTCTTCATCGGCGCCAGGCTCAATCGCGATCGGCACGATCACGCTCAACAGTCCTGGCGACGCTCTTGTCCGCAACTTCAAGTCCAGGTGCAAGGTCAGCAGCAGGGGCTTCGACGCAACATCCGCCGCCTTCGATATCGCCTCCCGAAGGCTACTGCTACGAAGCCCACAGCAATCAAGCACCGTCGTCCCCGATGCCTTGCCCTTCTCTCAAGCACACCGCCCGGAAGCGTCGTCCTTCCGCTGCGAAATATTGAGGTCAGAACTACTCTTCTCGAATCACTGACATAGCGGGTGCGCGGAGCTGCAAGACTGCCTGCGCGGGCACAGGGCTTTCCTCGCAGCAACGGCGCAGCATTCGCGTTATCTGGACGACGCATACACGCTGCCTGGTTGACCCAGAGGTAAGGTCACCATTGTCGCGCGCAGACCTCCTCTAGCTCGCGCAACTGACGTCCTACGGTCTTCAAGACGGCAAGAACTCTCAGTACTGCCACAACACGCCTCCTTACCATGAGTGGGCGTGAGCGTGCCGCCGGTGCGGCTGGAAAGAGTAGCAACCATGTATGTATGTCGCCTGCTCACCATGTCTTCGATGAGCAGACGTTCTGACGGCGTTCACGTCAGCATATAATGGGACAAGACGGCGGGCAGCATATGCGAGGTGAGATACCGCGTCCTAGCCACTCGTGCGTTTGTTACCACGCGCTCCCTTCCCATTCATCATTGTGTCCCCCAACATGTCTACCGAAGCCCTCTACACATCCACATCTCGGTCATGACTGTCAGCGACGCGCAGCGAGGTCGCAAATCATCAATTTCACTGAGGACAATTCTGGACTCACGATTACCCCTCCAGTCCTCCTCCAGTTCATCGCAATGCAAACCATCCTCCCCCCCCATCAAATCGCATCAGGCTCGCCCCCGCTCGTCAACCTCTTCATTGATCACCGTGGAATGTCGGAGGAGCGTGACTGAGACGAGGATCATTCGCATTCGTTCAGCAGAGACTCTACAGGAACCTCGGTGTGGAGACCTCCTTCGCGCGGACTGCCGCTGCCCCTTAAGACACCCACGAACCACGACTCACTGTTCGACAGCCCTCTACACTGCTAAGCGATGCGGCTCGTTCGCGCTGGTCGCGTCGGCCACCACCTTCCCGGTGGAGAGTACTTCACGCAGCCACTTCCAGTGATCCAGAGGTACGTTCCTTCGCACTACTTATGCTGATTCATACTCATGCTGCCAGATTATCCATAGGTTCTCCGCATATGGGCATCATTCGTGGCCGCATTCCCGCGCGCAGTCTTAGCTTCAAGGATATCTTCAATCAATGAATAGCTTCACGGGCGACTTCTCGCCCCGTTTTTAGCCAGAGCGTGAGGTTTACTAGCGTCACCAAGCGCGATCTAATGAAGGGTTGACGTCGTGACCGCCGTCTGATCTCGATTCTTCGTTCGATCACCTTCAGCACCTTGAGCAGAGTGTCAATTCGCTCCCAATGCCTCGCGCGTCGCGCTCTGGGTCATATCAAGATCTGCCGCCGCACTGACGCCAAGAGAGCTCGCGGAAGACTGCAAGGCGAAGGCGCGCTCAGACACCGTAAATGTGGACGAGAAGCCTCAATTGGAAGTCCCTAAGAGGGCGACGCTCGCTCCTGGCTCCACCGTACAGCCGAAGGCTATCGTCGCCCGGAAGCACAAGCTCACTCGAGCGGATGAATCTGTGCCGGTTTCCAATCTCCCAGTGTGGGCGCAGGAGGCCTTCAAGGGCATGAAGACTCAACCACATTCAGAGCAAGCTGCGCCCCATTGCGTTCGGCACTGACGAGCGTATTCCCTTGTGTTTGCCTACAGGTCTCGGTAAGGTATGCGCATACAACTCCTTCCAGCTAATATATGCCGATTCATGCATTTATCTAGATTAACGTCACCATGTTGACTACCCTGAACGAGTTTGGCAAGTGGCGCCGCGATGAGACGGCCCAGTTCTACCTAGACTCCTTCAAGATCATCCACGTCGCCCCTATGGAAGCCCTCGTCCAGCAGATGGTCGGCAACTTCAGGTCTCGGTTAGGTGTGTACGCGCGCGTCGTCTTGTTTGATCCCCAAGTCAGCAGGCGATCCTTATGAAGCGATCCATCGAGAAGACCGTACGTGCTCTCATTTGTTGGCTCGTAGAACACGGACCAGCCCATTGCAGGTCGCGCGAGCTGTGCTCTGGGCCGATACACGACATACGTGATATTGGACCCGTCTCGGAGAACGCAACGATATCTAGGTGTCACCACCGTTGAGATCTCCCTCAAAAAGCCACCATCTTCGCATGATGGACGGGCTGCTGACGCGCGTGTTTGTTCCTTAGCCCACGACGCCTAGCTCATGTTGTTCGAGAACCGTCACCGCACGGCATCGTTTAGTTCAGACTTTCATGTCTGTTCTTTCTTGTAGCCTGTACGTTCGCTTCTTCCGCCCGTTGCCCATCAGCGTGCACGACTCACTGCTGTTCATCAGTGCGCTCACGCCATGCGTCGAAACTTTTCACGTTGCCGTCGGCGTACTCGTAGTGCAACTCGACATCGACGCTCGCGAGTAGTGCGAGCAGCGCCGCCCCTCTCACTCTCGTCTTTGATGGCAAAGACGCCTGCGGACTTGTTTCTGCACTCACCCAGGTCGTACTTCTACACATCTCCGCGGTCAGCAAGTCTAGACACTATCCTCGCGAACACAGCCCGCCCGCGCCGCAAGTCCTCCACGTCTCCGCCCGGTCTGGACACGGCGCGCGCGCCTTACGGCACGATTCCGATTCCGCACTAAGACACTCCCACGATCACAGTAAACAGGCTTGCTGTGTTCATCGTCGGCATCGCGGATGGCCTGCTTGCCAATACGCGCAAGGAGAGCGAGATCAAGACGGAAGGCAAGTCTATCATCGGGCTGCTCAGTATGCTGGGCGTCGTGCTGAGCAGGCTATGTCTGCTAGTGAAATCTCGGGGAAATCAGTCTTACTTGTGTCATAACCTTCCTTTGCCACATGTGCAAGTCCGGGACCTCACATTCTACGGTCGGTCATGAATATCTCAAAGACGGCCCTACACTGATACACAAGCGTGTGCATATCGTCCACACGGCGGCTGTCCTTTTCGAGAAGCGCTTCGTGATCAAGTACGAGAGCGCGTAGGGACGCTTTCAGGGTGCCGAATGTGGTCGTATTGCCTCTCATTACTACGTTTCGTATAACTCGATGGCAACATACCACCAGCACCTTTGGCCCACGAAGATCACGATCGAACTGTTCCGAATCCTCGCGCTTGTTTTAAGAGTTCCAGCTCTTGCCAGTCCGTCAAGAGGTAAGTATCACTTTATGATATCGCTGCGTCCATTGATTGCGTTCCTTCATGAAATATTGGAGCTGAGAGGCTCATGGACCCCGCAGACCAGGACGTACGCGTGCGTTGCTAGTTCGGCGGTGCCGACGTAGATGCAGAAGGGAAGGAGGTCCGGCTGCGCGCCGCGGTCGATCGTAAGCTACAACCACACGTTCCGGCTGCCGCAGGGGCGGCTCATCGGTCTGGGCTCGGCGGTTTAGGCTTTAAGTCAGCCAGTCAGAAGCTAGATCTCAGCGCGGCTCACTTGGGTCTGTGGCATCTTGCTAGTGACTGGTCATGGTAAGTGCATTCTTTTATCGAAGGAGCCGTCCTGATGTGTCATTTTAGACATGACGGATGCGAGAAAGTGACTGGGCTACTCGAAGGCTCGAAAGACGAAGACCGGCACTTACATGACAATCACGACGACTTCCACTACGAGTGCCATCGGAACAATCAAGATGTACAGCATTGTAGGCTGCAGTAGCGCGATTGTGACTATAATTATCTTGGTCTGAGGATTTGAACCTTCATCTATAGTCCGTGAAAAGGTGTTCTATCAGTGGGCCTGTTGAACTGCACAGACAGAACTCACGAAGCAGTAGTCACGGCGCCGGAGGGGCAGAATGTAATAGAGTAAGATAAACACGAATGGTCTCGCCTACATCTCCGGGCCCTCTGCGCTGAACCGGATGCGTTCGCGCCACTTTGACCGCGTGTCTGATCCACGGGCCCCGGGTGCAAGCGTAGCTGACTCCAGAAACTGGTGGGTTTGTTCTCGCGAAGCCCTCACGGGCTACTGTACGCGGGCGACGGTGGTAACTCCTCAGCGTCGACTCGCCCAGCATCTTCACCCGGCTCGAGTGCTCTCAACGTGAACACAGTACTCTCCACCGGTTCGCCGTTGTACAGATCACCCGCTACGCTGTCCTCAGCCACGGTGTACGAAGGCGTCATCGTCGTCGCGTCCATACCCACCTGAGAGCCTGAGCTCGAAGGCCGCACTCGTATGCCAGTGAGTGAGGACATGCTCTTTGCTTCGAAGCCCCATATGTGCCTTGCTTGCTCGTTGTATGAATACACTACTGTCTTCAGCTAAGAACACGATGAAAAAGCCATAACACTTGAACAGGTTTGTTTTTTTTCGTCATGGACGGTCTGTCGTACGGCATACGCATGTTGGTCCTTCGTCGTCTCATGCGTAGCACCGTGCGAGGACGGCAAGTCTCACGCCTACGATGCTGCCCACAATAGCACCTATGATTACGTTGTGCACGGCACTGTGTGGAGCGCCAGAGTTCGCATAGGCCTGCGTCGTGCTCGTGCTCGAGGCGTCCATGTTCGTTGATGCATGCCGGGGAGCTACGCTGGAATATCTAGCCAGCGGTGCTACACTGCTGTTCCCGCAGTGCGTGAACGTCTGGTGCTGCGATCCCTTTCAATCGTATGTGTAGTACTGGCCGGTGTGCGGGTGAATACCTTAGGTGCGCGGTTCAATGTTTGCAAATATGGTGCGTTGAGGGGGGTCATCCTCGTGAGACTGTGCCTAGTGCTGGTCGTGGACTCGAACCGGACCCTTTCAGTTTTATCAACCTGTCCCCAAGACGGGACCCCCAGCTCGGGTTTCTAGCTTTCGTTCTCTTGTGCGCGTCATTCTTTTGTCTCTAGTCTTCGTCATGTCACGGCTGTCTACGATTTTCTGCTCTCTTAACTACCGGTCTCGGCGCCGCAGAATCCAATTCTCCCTTTCCCTCAAACCCGTATATTCTCCTCGCATGCAGGTAGCCATGTTGCAAGCCTATCAAACGCTGTCATATCCTCGTATTTCAAGCAGTGCATAAACTCAAAAGAAGCTACTTGTGAATGTGTGCATTTGATCCCGCCTATAAGAGTCGCTGAGGGTCGCCAACCGCTAAAGCCCCAGGCTTAGTCCGCAGGTATGGTACATTATTAATTGTATTTTACTTGACCCAGCGAACACACCCAAAACATATCCACACACTCACGCAGCCACGTCCGCCGCCTGGCGCACAATGCGGAGCGCCTGCTTCGAGCGCGGGCGAATGTCGCAGCGGAACGGCCGTGGCGTGCGGAACACCGCATTGTCGAACTGCACCTCGGGCTCCACCTCGCACCCCGCTGCATCGCGCGCCTTGACGATATCCAACGTCGCCACCATGCTCGCCATGACGATCCACAGCGACTGCTCGATCAGGTGCATCCCTGGGCACCGCCGCCGCCCAAAACCGAACACGTAGTTGCGTGGGTCGCGCCGCCGTGCCGCCGCCTCGTCCGCGGGCGCGAGGTACCGCTCCGGGACGAATGCGTCCGGGTCCGGGAAGAGCGTCGGGTTGCGCACCATGTTCCTGTGTGCGGGGGCAGCGTCAGCGCCGTGCCGTGTGTACCGTGCGCGCAGCAGAGCACGGCTTACCAGACATTGCCGAACACGAGCGAGCCCTTGGGAATGTGCATGCCGTTGTACACGTCGTCCTCCATCAGGCGGTGCGGCAGGCTGAGCGGCACGGGCACGCCCCACCGGAGCACCTCGCTCATCACGCACTCGATGTAGGGCAGCGACGGCCGGTCGGCGAACGTGGGCAGCCGGCCAGGGTCGATAACACGATCTATCTCATCCTGTGCCTTCGCGAGCACCTCGGGGTGCTGTACCATCGCGAGGATGAAGTGTGAAAGAGCTGTTATCGTCTACATGACGCGTGAGCTACGGTCCGCTGGTACAGTGCACGTCAGGGAACTCACGGTGTCGATACTGACAGAGTACATAGAGTTCGCCGTCCAGCGGATGTCAAACTCCTCTTCTTCACAACGCTCCACCTGCAGGAGCGTCGTGGAGAAGCAGGGAACTGCCGTCCCATCGCGCTGTGTCGAGCAAGTACATCAGGATGGGCCCGTAAGACACACTGTGCGTGACGCCACGTACCATGCGGTCCTTCACGTATTCATAAGGTTTGTCCACGAACTCTTCCATCTTTATTTTCCAGACCGCAGCTTTGCGCTTGAAGCCCGCGCCAGGAAACCAATCCGGGAGACGTTGCACTGGCGCTATCCAGCACACATAACCGTAGACGTAAACATGCAAAACTTACAGAAAGGGAATATATCCACGGGCCAAATACCACCTCCAGACGCGATGCGGTTGGACAGGATGTCCACACACTCGTCAGCGAGCGTGAGGAACCTGTCGTCGTTCGCGGAGGCGTGGTAGCCATAGAGCGTGTTGAGGGTGAGGCCGCCCGCGTAGCGGCGCAGGTTACCAACATAGTCCTCGGGGTCGCGCAGGAGCCGCTTGAGGAGATCCTGCGTCTCTACCTCGAGGAGCGGCTGGTACGCGCGGATGCTGTTCACGCCGAGCGCTTGCTGCATGAGGCGGCGCTGGCGGCGGGATTTGTCTCCGTATCGAGCGAAGGCGACCTGCGCGGCGCGTGGGTGAGCAGGGCGCCACAATCAGTTAGCGGGGCATGCGCACCATGTTCTCGCATCCGCATCTACCATCGAGGACATGATGAGATCGATTGGGCTGCCACAGAATATAAAGGGGACGCACAGGTCGCCTGCCATAATGAGGCCGGGCTTGTCAGAGTAGATGGCGCCACGCTTCTCGAGCAGGTCGACTGCAGTGTCGTAGTCGTTGAGGAACACGAGGCCCTGGCCAAAGACGTGCAAGTACACAACGTCCCCTGTTGCAGCAGCCAATTAGCCACGGACAGCCTCGAGAGGTTAGTGCAGCTGCGCGCTGTAGGAAACGCGAAACACCGGACAACGATTCATCAATGTAGCTTCCTCGGCATCAGCTAGACAGCCAGACACATCAACGAGAGAGCTCCTTTAGCCAGTGCACAGCAGACAAGACGCGACGCAGACTTTGCGTTGCTACGGATACTGCAGAGCGCGAGGAGATGCTCACCATAGCTCTTCGCCCACTCCGACGCGCGCAGCCACAGCTCCTGCGCTGTCAGGTTTGTGATGTTGCCGATTACGGGAAGCGGCTTCGGGCCAGGCGGAAGTGCCTTCTTCGGCTGGTTCAGGTGCAGCCAGACGTAGTACGCGGCCACAAGACCGAGCACGGGTATAATGAGACCCATTGTGGTAGCAGGATAGAACTCGCGATAAGTTAGCAAAGAATGTAGTCTCCGCAGGGGCAAGGCAGAGTCAAGGGGTTGACGTGCAGCCGGGAGGGATCGCCAGAGCCAGGTGCGTCCGCGGTGAGTTGGAGAAAGTAAGCAGGGAAGACGAGCGAGTTATAAATTACCCGGGCGAAGGGGCCAATTATATGAGACTACAAGCGGCGGAACAAGGACCCCGCGCGTCGGGCCGTGTTTCTAGACTCGAGAGTTACGTTGTGCGTCTCCAGCAAGAACGCCAAGTTGAGTGTTTGCGCGCACCCATCCGCATCTGGTGCACAGTGCAAATTATACTGTAGAAGAAGGCGAGTCAATAGCATACAACGAAGACGAGATAAAGCCCGAGCGAGTGCTATAGATTGAAGTCGAGAGAGACGCCGGCCGCGATAGAATAGATTGAAGTCGAGATAGCGAGAGATGTAGATAAGAGCATGAATGCTCCGCCTTTAGATAAGGAGCAAGCGCTCTTGACTGATCATCGTGATCGGGCTGTTCAGTCGGGCACCGTTCAACTTTCCTCTTCTCTATTCTACTTTTGCTTTTCATTTTGATTCTCCTTCACGTCTTCGTTTCTAACTTGCCCGCTTCCTTGTTTCTCTTGAACCTCTTGCCACGCGTCCACCATCCTCGTCGCCTTCTGCTAGCAACAAATCAGGGCGCTGGCCGCGGTTCCCTGCCTGGTCTTCACCGACGCCACTCTCACTCGCGATACGCCTCTTAACGTTCAACAGGACCGCCAGTGCTCTTGGCCGCAACACCGCGACATCCATTTCTCCTTCGCTCTTCCACCTCGTCCCCAAGCAGCACATGCGCCTCTTCAAGTCCAGCTGGAAGGTCATCGGCAGCGGCTTCGACTCAATGCCGGTCTTCGATGTCAACCCCTGAAGGCTCCTGCTACGAGGACCACAGCTAATACTCTATGTCGTTAGGCACGCCTTGCTCCTGCCGTAAGCACAGCGTACGGAAGTGTCGTCCTTCCGCTACGAAATATTGAGATCAGAACTACCCATTTCAACTCACTGACACAGCTGGTGCACGGAGCCTCAAGATTGCCTGCGCGAGCATATGAATATTCTTGCAGCAACGGCGCAGCATCTACGTTACTCGGATGACGCGTTCACGCAGCCTCGTTGATCCAGAGGTAAGTCTACCATTGTCGCGGACGTTCTATTGCTTACTATGTCCTTTAGCTTGCGACCGGCCACTATGCAACCAACGTCTTACGACGTTGAAGACGGCAAGGACTCTCAGTATAGCCACAACACGCCTCCTCACCACGAGTCGACGTGAGGCTGCGAGTGCGGCTGGGGAGAGTGAAAATCAGGTGTGTATGTTGTCTACTAACTATGCTTTCGATGAGCAGACGTCCTGACGGCGTTCACGTCAGCATAGAATCAGATAAGACGGAAGACAGCCTATGCGAGGTCAAGCACCGCGCCCTAGCCACTCGCGCGCTGGTGTTATGCGACCTGCTTCGGGATCGCCGACTCTCAGGTCCCAGAGGAATGGCGTTGCTGAGTTTGCAGGCCCCGGGCCATCGACAGAGACCGCGCTGTTCGCGTCCAGAAGGCGCACCGTAGATCCGCGCTCGATAGGCAAAAACGGCGAGTAGGCAGTCCAGGCGTGGACAGGATGTGGCGACGGGCAAACCCAACAGCGATAGACAGGGGCGGCCACAACAAACCGAGAAGGAGGCCGTCCATCAATGTGTAGCCGACGGGCGAGGATGGGCACGTCGGCATTGACAAGCTGTGGATGCACAGATACGTCTTGGTAGACAGACGTCATCCCCCACCATCTCACCCGCGAGAGACCACGCCGTGCCGCGACGCAGTGGCGAGGCGTGACTGCCCTTGAAGGCGAATTATCGACAACGACGTCCCCCACCATGACGCCCGCCGGTTTCCCCTCATCTCCACACGTACGCGTCCATCTCACCGACCCTCACAAAGTCCCCGTTCCACCCGCCCTTTTTTTTAACATCGACCATTTCCTCTGCCCTCCTTCTTACGCCGTCCACGCCGCTCGTTCCATTCCCTTCTCGTACTCCATCCACGTCCATCATCACCCTCTCTACCGCTTATCTCTCCGACCCCTTGAACGCCTATGTCCACCTCAGTATATTGAAGCTCTTCGTCCACCTCATCGGCCCTCCCCTCGAGAACTTTCTGCTCCCTACTCTCGCGGCTGTCGACAGTCGCGCTCGGCGACGGCCTCGAGCTTGCCTTCGCATGTGACCTCGGAGTCGCTGGTATGGCATATTAACGGTCATTTTGCTTGTACTGGCAACTTGCAGGGCATGCTGCCACCAAGACAAAGCTGAACATAATTCCAGGGACTGGTAGAACACAGCGTCTGACCTGCCTGCTCGGACTGGCAAAAGCAAAGCGCCTCATTTTCACGGTGCGAACACTCGACGATGCCGAGGGCCTTTGCCGAGGCCCTTGATATTGGTATGCTGGCCCACAAGTGTAAGTTCGCGTTGGCTAAAGTTGTCACGCGGTGTAACAGGTCTCATGGACTATGTTTCTGCTCCGGGAAGGTCTGCAGTAGACAAGACACTTGAAGCTGCTGCGGATATTGCACCAAGTGGTATGTACATGAACCCTTCTTATCCGCATAAATTGAGGTGTCTATCCTATTCAGCACCGCCGTCCCTACTGAGCTTAGCTTTAAGATCTCGTACGTGGCTTACTGGTCCCCGCCATCTGCAGGTGCATCCCTGGTCGCGACGAAAGTCCGTGCGCTCCCTCCAAGCCCGCGTCTTCCGCCTCCGCATGCCTCCTTTCTCCCTGGCCCTTACTCCATTCCCCGCAATCTTTAGCGCGTCTCAACCCCACCACTGCTATCCGACGCAGCTAGCCCAGTTGGCGCGTCGCTGTGAAGGCTACAGGTCACGCTGCCATCTGAGGCCACAACGACGCCACTAGGTTACGAACAGCGTGCGGACATGATGTGGAACACACCCGCCGTTGCGCGCATGGCATCGACCGTGTATGACTGCTGAGTAAACGTGAGTTTACCATACACGTCGTCCGTGCAGACGAGAGAAGACGCACGGAACATTCGGTGTACAGGGTTAATCCCCACACAGGACTTGCAATGACAGGCGGTGCGCATCAGGCAATCATTCAGCTGACTCTTACATCGTTCATTTCCCGTCGCGCAGCTCGATCTTGCATGCGGCGGCTATCACCAGCTGAGCAGCGCCGCGCACAATCCGTTCGAAGCTTGATCGTTCCCAAGCACATCTCGCTCATCTGCGGCCAGCGCGTCAAGATCGTCCGCCAGACCAACGCCAAGACCATCTCCGTTGAGCGCAATGGGTACTTCGACTCCAAGGTTATCTCGCGCGGCTGCCAAGGTGTGCACCGACCCTAGGCTCACTGTTCGTGTCGTACCTGCCACTGATGTGCCTCCTCCTCATGCCAGCACCGCAGGAATATGGCATTGACATCGTCGGCGAGGACAAGAAGACGATCATCCACCTTAAGGTCGCCACGCGCGTGGTGTGCGTCTTCACCGAGCAGGAAGCGCAGGCTGCTGCGCGCGCAGAGGCGCAGGCGGGCCCCGCCGCGTACGGTGTCGGCGCGGGTGGCGGCACACCTCCCGCAGCGGGCGCGTTCAGCTTCGCACCGGGCCAGCAGCCGAATGCGCCCGGGCAGCAGCGCCGCCCATCGCTCCAGCAGGGCCTCATCGGGCTTGGTGACCGCGGCGGGAACATGCGCGCGCCTGGCAAGAGCGGGCTCACATTTGACCACATCTTGAGTCGCTTGCAGGGCGAGCTGCAGAAGAGCCGTGATACGGGCGCTGAGCTGCACTCGCTGACGAGTGCGATGAACGAGATTCATGATACCCTTGGTGGCAACCTGGTGCGTCGCATAGATGTATGATTTTGCTCTTTCCTCACTGTAGGCCGCTCGCAGCCGCCGAATCTCCCCCCGCATCCTTCGAATCTCCCACCAGTAATGCCTCCTCAGTCCCAGCAGCAGCAGCAAGAATCTGAACAACAACAGGCACCGGCGGCGCCGTCACCATCAGACTCGGGTTGAGCACTTTCAGAACTCCAATCACAACTGCGCGAGACTCAAATGTCTCTCGCAAGCCACGTAGACAAAATTCGCTCCCTCGAGACGATGCTCGCCGAGCACGAAGCGATCAAGCGCGAAGTCGGCTCCCTGCGCGAGCTCATGGAGGAACGCAAGCGCGAGATGGACACGTCTCGCGGACGCAGCGGCAGTCCCAGTGGACGTCGCCAATACGGGCACGACGATGATTCGCATTACATGTCTGACGACGACGACAACGTACACAGTGTGTCGACGATCGTTCCGCATGAGCTCGACCGAGTCGACGAGGAGGACGAGGAGCAGCTGGCCACGGAGGAGAAGAGGAGCAGCAGAGGAAGCGGAGGGAAGAGCTGGGTCGCCCGCGCATGCCAGAGCCAACGGGAACGGGTATGTCTGACGATGACTATGATCATGACCACGATCACAGCACATACGAGCCGCAACAGCGCACTCGGTCGTCGTCTCCTCCGCCTGCGGCCGCAGGGTTAGGTTAGGTTAGGTTAGGTTAGGTTAGGTTAGGTTAGGTTAGGTTAGGTTAGGTTAGGTTAGGTTAGGTTAGGTTAGGTTAGGTTAGGTTAGGTTAGGTTAGGTTAGGTTAGGTTAGGTTAGGTTAGGTTAGGTTAGGTTAGGTTAGGGTGC